TGCTTGGAGCAGTCAGCACTTGGTTCAAAAGGGAGTTAATGTAACTCAGATGTAATGTGTGGCCAAAAGCTTTGGAGGATTTTACAGTGAACATTAAAGCTTCCTAGAGATGGTAATTTTTAGGGCAGTGACACAGAGTTCACTGCAAAATATATCTCCCATTTGTTTAGAGCCTCTGACAGGATCCTGAAACTGACATTAAAGGTTTGTTAACAGCACTTGGTTCAAAAGGGAGTTAATGTAACTCAGATGTAATGTGTGGCCAAAAGCTTTGGAGGATTTTACAGTGAACATTAAAGCTTCCTAGAGATGGTAATTTTTAGGGCAGTGACACAGAGTTCACTGCAAAATATATCTCCCATTTGTTTAGAGCCTCTGACAGGATCCTGAAACTGACATTAAAGGTTTGTTAACTAAAGGTTATGCTTAATTCTCTGAAGCATTTTTTCCTGCAGTAGGAGTAGTGGTTTGCCTGTGTTTGTATGTGTATAAGTGGTATTGCCTCTGGTTTTGTATGTGACAAAGCAGAGGTGGTTTGATTTGCATAGCAACTCTTGGTTTGCACTCTGCAGCACTCAAGCTGAACTGGGGCAGTTGTGCTGAACACAGGATTAAGTATTCACTCCAGAACTGTATAAACATTCTCCTTATCAAACCAGTGCACAGCAGGTCAGAAGTTGACATCAGTGCAGTTCATGCAGTTGATTTTTTTTTTCTTCCTTTACTGTTCTCCTTTGTAGACTCTTCCTTATCAGCAGTGTCCTTTTCCCCTCCTGGTGTATTTTGGGGTTTAGCATAAGCCACTGTATCTTTGCCTTATCTTGGTTCTAGTTGTCATTAGGGTGATATAAGTCACCTTGGAGTTTAAATATGCTTACTTTATTTATTGACAGAGGAAGCCTGTGAGATACTCAGAGGTGGCCTGTGGTGGGTGTGGTGGCAGAACAATTTAGAGAGGCCATTCCCAGCTCTGCTGCCTCTGTTCACTGGAGACTTCTGTCTCCATCACTTTCCTTCCTCTGGCTGGAGCCCATTGGGTTGCTTTCTCTCCTTCTGGGCATTTCTCTTGCTTATTTTGTTTCCACAGTCTCCTCCCTCACCACTTGTGGTTATCTGAGGTAAGGTGGGTGTAGCCACAGCAAATGCACCTTTTGTGCAGCCTGTGCAAAAATAAATATTTATAGTACTTTAGGGATTAAAATTTGCTCTTTAACATATTTGTTGAGGAATAAATGTGTGAGTTCCTACAGTAAAATCCTTATGCCCACACACCCTGGTTTCAACCTGTAATTAATCTTTTCTTAAATTGCTTGGAGCAAGAACACCTTTGTTGGTATGTTGTGCACAGCCAGGTTGTGTTGCTTAGCATGAATATTGTGCTGTCAGCACTACCACAAAGCCAGTTCTTAGGCAGCCTTAGGATCCATTTAATTCAGCTTCAGAAAAAGTCAGCTTTGGGAAAGAGAAAAAGAAGGAAGCTTGCAGACTGCCAGACTGGGAAATCTGGCAAAACCCAGTGCTGGATCCCAGTGTAGTTGAGGTTTGACTCCCTCTCCTCTTATTTTAAATAACCTGTTGGTTCCTTGCAAGGAAGAGTCTTGTGCTCAAGACATGGACAGTGCTGAAGATCAGTGTCAACTGAAGTAAAACAGCTCCAAACCTGTTTAACTGTGATTAAATTCTCTGTCCCCAGAGTACCTGTGGCAGGTCCTGCTCAGTATCCCTGAAGACACTCATCTGGCTGCACTGGCAGTGTTAGCACATGTTCTGATAAGCCTGTGGGAAAGTACAGCAGTGGTTCTGCAGTGCAGTTTCATATTCTGATTTATAAGGGAGGCTGATGGCTTGAAATCTGGTCAACTTTCTTTACTGAAAATCAAAAGGAAGCTGCCAGCTGCAGAGGCTGTCACAGGCAGGGAGCTGGAATTAAATTACATAACCTGCCAGCTCAGGCCTGAACAGAGATGTTGTTAAATGTATTAAAACAGATGAGTAGATTATTCTGGGCTTTTGAAAAGAAGCAAAGGCCCAGCTTTGAAATCCAAATGAACATTACAGGAAAAAGGGATTAGTGCAGGGGCAGCACTGGGATAAATGCCCACGTTGGAAGGTCTGGTTTGTCTCTGTGTGGGGCAAAGCCCCTGGTGGGACAGGTGATGGTGAATGCTCAAACCTTTCTAGAATCAGTTTCATAAAAGTTTCTCTTGCAATGTTGAAATGAGGCTGGGCAGTGTCCTGGCTTTTGCTTTTGGCTGCTGCATTCCTAGAGTAACCTGGAATTTGTATGTTCAACCATAAGTTCCTGTCTTTGCCTGATGGTTTACCTGACCTGGAGTGTGAAAATGGAGAGAGATGCTGTTGACTTTCCTGTGGTCTTTCAGATTGGTTTTGAACTGCTGAAACAACAGATTTCAGGGGCTGAATGTAAATAATTAATGTGTTCATGTTCTTCAGAGGTGACCATTAGGATCCCATTTCTCCAGCTGGCTCTCACATGGAGAAATCCATCCAGCAGTGGCATTGCTGGGGTAGGAGAGGCAGATCTGCATGTTTCAGCAAGCTCACAGCTGTTTGCTTCTCTGGGCAGGTGTTCAGAATAGTGAGTACTTGCCTGGGCAGCCCTCCGGAGACTTTCTGCTGGGAATTCCGGGATAAGGAGAAGAGCTACCACAAATATGGCCCTCTGACACCTGTGCAGTTCTACAATGAGCATGTGAAGCCTTACTTCAACATGGAGGACAAGGTTGGGGATGCTGAAAGGCTGTTCAAGGCTTCTTTTTGTTGCTAAGCCACTTATTTCCCACTGTTCCCATTGTCTCTCCCCTTGTAACTGCAGCACAGGGATGGCTCTGTGTTTATTGTCCCTGTTGTGCTGTTTGTGCTCTCCCCTTCAGTTATCTCTGGTCTTGCACTGCAGTTCCCCACCGATTTTGTAATGATAAAATATGCACTGATCTCATCAGTTGTAACACCTCATAAGAGAGCAATTAGACAAGGAATAACATGCAAAGCTGTTCTGCCACAGTTAGGAGGTGAACTTACAAAACAAAACAACAAACAAAGCCTTAAAAAAAACTGGTACTTGAGCCAAGTGACTGGTTTGCTGATGGGACAGACAGCTAACTGGGACAAAAGCCATTCCCTGAAATCCTAGATTCACTGCTCAAAGGCTTCAGTGATGTTGCACCTTAATTTATGACATCTTGGCTTTTGGCAGATTTGCCTGGTGAATGATCCTCGGCCTGAGAATCCCTACAACAGGCTGTACACAGTGGAGTACCTGGGAAACATGGCTGGAGGCAGGAAAACACTCTACAACAACCAACCTGTGGAGGTCCTGAAGAAATTAGCTGCAGCCTCTATTAAGGATGGAGAGGTGGGTTTGGGTTCCTTCATGGATGAGAGCCTGTGCCATGGAAAACTCCTGGGATATGGCCTAGACATGACTCTCCCTCCTTTTTGCAGGCTGTGTGGTTTGGCTGTGATGTGGCAAAGCACTTCTATGGCAAACTGGGAATCAATGACCTGAATATGTGAGTAGGAAATCAAACTAGGATGCCATTTGGGATGCTTGGGGAGGACATGAACAGCCCTTTAGCTACTTAAGAAACTAATTTGTACTTTGGATTCTATACCCCAAGAGAATATATTTAAGTAATTCAGAAGCAACAGGAATTTTTTCAGTGTTGGTTAGATGTGAATCCTTTAAAGATGCACTAGAAGTAAAGTATTACTTAGTGAAATTTGTGGTGAGAGAAACTCCAAAAGGGATCAGTGTTTGCATTCATTCTGATGCTGAAGTAATTGTGCACTAGCTCCTGGGACAGGGCAGTTTGCTGATTCCCTAATTTATTTCCTGGAATTCTCCCTGCATCCTTTTGATATGGCTTGTCTGGCTTTCTAATAGATTCAACCACGAGCTGGTGTTTGGGGTCTCCATCAAGAACATGAACAAAGCAGAGCGACTGATCTTCGGGGAGTCGATGATGACCCATGCCATGGTCCTGACAGCTGTCACTGAGAAGGTACTAGCTCACTCCTGAAGCTCAGCTGCTAGCAGGGATGTATGGGAATATCCTGGGATGTATGGGAATATCCTGGCAGCTTTGTGTTCTGAGCTGTGTTCTCCTAGGGTTGGACATGTGTGCCACCAGCCCCTGGTGCACAAGGCCTGGTTGTTTATTCTCCTTGTGTTGTTTGTGTCTGAGCATTCAGAGCTATAAATATTTAACAAGGAGGGAAGAATTTTAGACATGTCAAAGGATTTCTTGCCTTTTGCCCACAAAGTTTTATTGGAGAACCACTGCATGCTTAGTCCAGTCTGTCTCCCAGCAGGAAGCTCCTGTGAAAATGCTGGTAGAAGGCACTTTGCAACAGTGTTAACCTCCTGCAGCTCTCTGGCATGTGATCTCCCTGACCTCTAATTAGGGAAGGAAAATTGTCCAAAATAGCTCTGTGGCAGACAGGCTGAGATGAATCCACAAGTAAATCTGCTCCTGGCAGTATAACAAAGCAGATAATAAAGTAAAGAGACCCATGTAAAAAATTACAACTCTGGGTTATCTGCTATGTTGAAATTTCCATTTGTTTCCAGAAGTTGTCATTATTAAAGTTTGTTTGAAGTGACCTCTTCCTGTCCAGCATGACCCTGGCTTGAGAAATAACAGCTTGCATGGCACTGAGCTCTGGAGTTTGGGGACTGGAGATGGGAATGCTGACTCATAAGAACTTTTCCAAGTTACTTTTTACAACTTCATATTAATTTTTCCTGTTTTCTGCATTCTGAGCTCTTAACACTTCTATTTTATGTCAGATTGCACAAGCATTTCTTTAAATACCTAGCTGAAAAACCATGAAAATTGTTTTTTAAGTGGTAGTTTTTAAAGCTTATTTATCTATTCACCACCAAAGTCTGTACATTTGCCCTGATGGTAGCAAGTTCCAGACAGCTACAGCCTATGGGCTGTATTTTTTAATCAGTTTTTGTATGCCTAAATGTACAGTTGCATAAGAAGTGACTGAATGACCTGATTTCTTAAACAAAAGGCTGTGTATAAGATCAGTATATGATGGATGATATCTTTAAAGTCCAAAGATTCATCAGAAGAAATGATCCTACAAGTTCAGCATTCGAAAGCTTTTCCACATTCAAATGGACAAAGTTGTTTCTACTTTTGGTTTGCAAGTGTTGTCTTACATTAAACCTTAATCTAAAGGAGCTTTGATAAACTTGTAAAATGTAATACTTTGGATTTACCTACTTTAGGAAAAGGCTTTGAAGATTTAGAAAAAAATCCTATTACAATTTTACAACATCAGAAATTGATGTGGATTTAATGCACCTTTTGGTTAAAAACTTGGTGTACACGAATGTGTCCATCCCAGTTTCTGCCTGAGACATCCTTAGCCTGGGAGCTCTCAGGTGTCTCATTTTAAGGACTCTTCTGTATTTTCAAGTGAGAGCAGAAGCATTACAACAATATTCCACTGAATATTAAAAATGGATTTATGAGGTGTTTTCTCAGGTTAGTTTTTGTATTAAAGTAGCAAAGCAGCAGCCTTGGAGCTGTGTCCTTCAGCTGGGTTCTTCCAGGGTGTGCACTTGCTCTTACTGAGGCTCCTCATCCTTGTTCCTTTCCTCTGATTCCCAGTTCAGGCAAGTGGTGCATCCTGCCCTTCAGGAGGCCTCGTGCCCTGATGGGGGCAGGGATGGCTGCTCAAATTCTGTCAGTTAAGTCCAAATTTGAATTAGTTAAATCTAAGTTGTCTGGTAAAAATAAGTATTGCAGGCTCTTCTTGACCAGTTTCTCAGATTTTATCTAAGTGGGTAGATGAGTGTTTTAGAAAACTACATTTTCCCAGCCATTAGCAAGAAACCATTGTCTGAGACTCTCTGGTGCCTGTGGAGTGTTGGGAGTGGAGCTCTGATTTGCTGGTGCTGGATTTGGACATTGGCTGCGCTTTCCTGTTCTTCACTAGTGAATGCCATTGACTTGTTTTGTCACAGGAAGGGCAAGAAGATGCATTTGAAAAATGGAGAGTGGAAAACTCCTGGGGTGAAGACCGTGGGAATAAAGGTAATGTCTAGTCATGGGAACAGAAAGCTGAACCAAACTGGGTTGTGTATGGAAGGTGTGGGAAGATACTGATAGACTTTATCTGAAGCTTATGTTTTATCAAAGCTTAAATCTTCCATTATCATGTCTTTAAGGTTGATTAGTTTATTGCTGTGAAGCTGCTGATTCTCTCAAGCCCTGTACACCAGTTTGCTGTTGATCTCAAGTAAATCCCCAGCCATTATCCCTGCCAGGAACCCCAGCAGCTGTAGGAGTTTGACAAGTGTGGCAGGGAGAGCACAACCTTGGCCATTTTGTTGGTCATGATCCTTTGCAGCAGAACACAAGTATGAAAAATATAGTAGCATTAGCCTGAAAATATGGTGATACTTGTCTTGTGAGATTCCAGGAATTTCTGTGGGCATGTAACCAGTCTGTTCAGAGAGGGACAATAGGTAAGTGCTTGGCAGTATAAACAAGATAGGATCACTTCCAAGAACTGCACTGAACAGGAATGCTTTTTGCTTTTGGTATGAAAGGAGAAATAAAGACTTCAGTGCAACACTCTTAAATGTGTAAAGCTCAAAACTGCCACCACAGCTGTCTCCTCTGGCTGTGGCTGGTGCTGGTGATTAACCTTCCTGAGTCATGTGTGAACCTGAAGTGGTTTATGTTTTCTTTTAAAGCTCTGTTTATCAGCCACTGTAGGATTTACTGATTCTGGAGATGAGGGTATGGCTGGTCCCAGCCTATACTGTGCCTAGCTGCAGGGCAAACTGTTCCAGCTCAACAGCTGGCTGGGGGAAAAAATCAATTAAAAAATCATAATTCTGGTTGCCTTTTAGAAGCTGTGCTGAAAACATGCTCTGCAGCACCTCTGCAGTGTTTCTCCTTGGCGTAGACACCCAGTCCAGTTGTTGGATGGTGTCCTGCTCCTGTCAGGGGCTCTGCAGGAGCTTGCTGTCCCAGCCTGCACTGCTGTTCCTCTGGAACAGCTCCGAGGGCTTTGCAGGGCCCTGTGCCAGCCTGGCAGGGCACATGGCAGCAGTGAGGACACAACTGAGTCACAGCTGAGCAGTGGTTTAGGAAATTGCTTCCAGTTGCTTCTGTGCTACTGGGAATGACTGGAGGGTGCTTCTCTGCTGGGCTGGGGACAGCTCTGACCTGCTCAGCCCTTTGAGTGGGGCTGGTGGTTTGAGCATCTCTGCTTTGCTCTGCCAAGGTCACTCAGTCAGCTTTTCCTATATGGAGTGGAGGGAAACTCCATGGTTTTTGTCATCCCATGTGAGAGACAGGCTGGATGTGGGCTCAGCATGGCACAGCCTCCCTGGGGAGTGTGCCAGGCTGGACACTGTGTCCCAGGGCATAACAGCCACTGCTCACCACATTTTTCTGCTGCACATTAATCCTAAGTGTTGGTGTGGCAGAAATTTCCCAGGATGTCTGGGTTTTCTTTTGGGAATACACTATTTCTGGAAGTCTCTTTTTTAGGATGTGGTCATATTCATAAGCTTTTGATAACATGAACAGCTAACTAAAACATGGAATATTCTTGGCACAGTGTCTTAATTTATGTTGTGGCCTCTTGGTTTTGCAGTAGTGTCTGTTCCCAGTTAGCTGTTTCCATTCACAGCAAAGAACTCCAGTAAAAATCTTCAGTCTTGACAAAACAATGAAACTGTTGATGTTCAGCCTTCAAGGCTCATCAGTGTGACAGTAGTAAAATATACTTTGGAATGTTTGATTAAGTAAAGAAGCCAAATCAATGCTGAGGAAGTAACATCAAAGTCTGCAAATGCAAACTGCTACTTGGTTAAGCATTTCTGTGCATAGTAGAGAATACAAAATATAAAAGTGCCTGGTCAGTTGTGCTGTTCTTGTCAGATCACTTTGTTTTGGGACACTCCAGATGCTTGGTTGGTGATGTTGGATGCTGCTGGTGTGAGAGGAATGCTTCCAGGAAGGAAGTGCTTTACTCATCTGCTTTACAGCTGCTCAGTGTGGACTTGGATTAGTTCTCCAAACACTCTGACGTTAACAGGTGTCTGTCAGCAGCTCTCCATGGGTCATATACATTCCTTGGCCAGGGCTGAGTTGTTCTTTGTTAGAACTGGAGAAAGACTGGGCTCAGTTTCAGATTTTTGGCCGTTATTCCCAAAGCACAGCAGTAGCTGAAACCTGACACTGTGAGTAGAAGTGATACCTGTTGGGCTGTGACTGAGCAGTGACACTTCTGTGCTGGAGCATCCAAATAGGCATTCACTGGTCAAGAATGAGTTCTAGAGCCACTCAGAGGAGCTATTTGTTCCTCTGAAATAAATAGGACCCCAGAGGGACTTGAACAAGCCCTGCCCAACCCTGTACACATGTCATCTGTGTGAACTTTGCTGGGTGAGTCACTGTCCCTTATCTGCTGTGTACTGGTCTCTGGAAAGTCTTGCTTTCTGTCTATACTTTGTTTTGGTTAGGGAGTTGCCTGGAAAAGTGCCTTGACAGAAAATCCCACCAGAACTAGAAACTTGACTCTATTTCAGGCTGCTTTTTTTAAAGGAGGTGAATCCCTGGATGATTTTCTTGGGTATGACCAAACAACCTGCTGTGGAGCTAAAGGCAATTGGACATATCCTTCAGAGCTTTCGCAAACACTAGAAGAGGTAACTTAGAGTCACTGAACCATTTAGGTTGGAAGAGACCTTTTAAGGTCTAGCTGAGTCCAACTCTTAACCTAACACTGCCAAGCCAAGCACTAAACTATGTCCCCAACTGCTACATCTACACATTTAGATCCCTCCAGGGACATTGACTCAACTTGGCAGTTTTTTCCCCTTCTTCCTGCCCTGATTTTTCACTTTTCACTGCCCAGTAGTAGGTGGTGTAGGAGGGTGAGGACTCATAGCCTGAGCTTTCTTGCTGTGTCACTGAGTCTGTCTCACCCTGAGTTTTTATCTTATCTGCCTTGTTAAAGAATTGGGGAGCTTTGCTTGGGTACGTGTAAAGAACCAGAATCCTCGTCAGGAAAGAGTCAGCCAAGAATGATGTTAAACTTGGCACATCCCACTTGAGGCCCAGTTGGGTGTGGGGGATAGGAGTAAGCCCCAACTCCCAGTATTTCTTGGACAGGATGCTGAAGGGTCCAGCCTGCAATGAAACACCAGGGACTGGACTTGAATCATTAAACAATGAGCAAACAAATGACTATTTGTTGGGAGGAAATAGAAGTGTTTTTTCACATGGGATCCCTCCTGCTTTGCTCCAAGTACAGTCCAAGGTGCCAGGCAGCACCTGTGTCCTCTGACTTGCATGGTGCAGGCCTGGAAAGACTGTGATTCCTGGTTTGGGTATCATGGGATGGAGTCAGTTATATGCTCACACTCCAGGGTGGGCAGGACTGAATCCTTCTGGTAGTGCTTGTCCTGGAGAAAGGGAAGCTCTGGGAATAGCCTAGCGTTGCCTCTCCTAAATATTTAGTAATTACACTTATATCTGTTGGAAAAGTGTTTCTTGGAATCCTGTCTGTTTTTCCTCAAGGAATGAACACAGCTGCTGACAAACATTGCTTGTTTTTCGAGGTAAAAAAGTCACTTCCCAGTCAAATATTTCCTCTCTGGTTTATTGGCACTTTTTCAGCCATACAGGCAAGTTGGATTATTCTGGGTACTCTTTTGTTCTGGAGACACAGGACACTATCACCTAACTCTGAACCCAGCTTATCCCATCGGATATCTTGTTTTAAAAAAAAGCATGGAAGAGAGGAATACTAAATCACACTATCATATTCCTTTGATAGAGATCCATCTGCTTGTTTTGGCATGGAAAGGGCTTTGTTGTGCTCCATCTCCAGCTAGAAGTCATCTCCCTTTGGACATTGTGTGTTGCACTGGTAGTTGCATACATGCTCTTCTGCATGAGGCATTTTAAGGGTTTAACTGTAGAAACTGTAAACATCCAGTGTCTGTACAAGTGCACACATCTCATCCCATCACACTGGGATGAGCACTGTTAATTTGTTCTCCTTCTCTCTCTCTCTCTCTGGAGGAGTTAGAGCACAAGTACAATGTGGTTTGTACTGGGTCCTTTGGGAACTTTCAGGGGCTTTATTTTCAGGGCTATATAGGATGTGTTTCCTTTCAGTGGAGAAGTTGATAATGGTTTGCACTGCACAGAGCTCCTCAAAAAGCAACCCGAGTTATTTGCATGTCCTGAAGTCCTGCTCGACACTTCCTCCTTGTTCAGACACTGATCCTAATCGGCTCTGTCAGGCTCTGAGATACAGGATGTCAGCAGCACAGTTCATTATCCTCTCAGGGTGCAATTACTTGTTGGCTCTTGGGAGTGAGAGGTTTTTGTGTCCCCCAAGAACTCATATCCTGAAGAGAGAATAATCAAGGCAGTTCCTTTGGCAGTGTTTCCAAAATGGCTTCTAGCCTGGATTGCAGTTGATAGGGTTTTTAATTTATGGGAGTTATCTGATCTCCTGCTTTAGCAACAAGATGGTGTAGATAGATGCATTTATTGTCCATATTCTTTGGACGTTTTCTTGTTTCATTTGATTGTGTATGATACTGTATAAGGACACGAGGAACTTTATTACATAAAGCCTTCTCATCTCTCTCCTAAATGCTTCCTTTCTCCCAGCCACTCTTATTTTCAGTTCACCTGGAGTAGTTTGTTTCCAGAGGTAGCTTTCTGCTAAAACCTGTGATCCTCTGAATGTGCCTTTCCCCTACCCCCAGTTCAAAGGGTGTTCACTGAAATTCTCAGGAAGAGATTAAAGGAAAAAAGTAAAAATTAGCTGAACTGAGGTGTGACTGGGATGGCTTTGTTAGAGGATGGAGGAGGCAGCTGCCTCTTACTGCACGAACTAATCCAGCAAAGCTTTCTTAAACTGAAGCTAGTTTGGATATTCACCTGGAAAATTTTCCTTTTCACTAAATCCTGAAAAATTCTAAAGCTTCAAAGACTCAAGCTTATATTCTGCCTTAAATGCATTTTTGTTTTTTAAGACTTTGTCATTTCCTTGAGTGTTCTCAGTGCCTGTTTTAACAGAGGAAATGCAGAGTATGAATCTTCTGGATCTTGTTTTCCTGGTGAGCCCCTTGCTTGGCCTTTCCATGCACACAAAGCACATCCTGTTAGTCTGTGTGTTCATTTCTTTGTGATTTGTGAGTTTTGAGAGAGAACCAGAAGGACCTCATTTCTTTGTGATTTTTGAGTTTTGAGAGAGAACCAGAAGGACCAGGTCCTGTCTAATGCATCATTGGTAGGTGAGATTGTCTGGGACTGCTCTGCTGTGCTGGTTCTAACTGTCTGATGTCACCTCCAGGTTACCTGATCATGACTGACGATTGGTTCTCCGAGTACGTGTACGAGGTGGTGGTGGACAAGAAGTATGTGCCAGATGACATCTTGGCCGTGATGCAGCAGGAGCCAATTGTTCTGCCAGCCTGGGACCCCATGGGAGCTTTAGCCAAGTGAACTACAGAGTATTTGCCTCTTAATGGTCATCAGAAGTAGATGCAATAGAGAATTCCAGTGGTCGGAAGCCATAGCCAAACGATAACGTGACCAAGCACTCAGCATGGTCTGTGTTCTTGAAATGCAACTTAAGGATCTTTGGGAAATAGTGCTCTGCTGACTTGGCTGAATAAAGCCCTCACACAGGCTACTCCAAAAAGTCCAAAGGGAAAGGAAAAAACCCCATAATGAAAACACATTAGAGTTGCTGTCCATGGCAGTTTGATTTTACCTGAAATTTCAATAAAAATCAGTGTAGTGATGTAGTAAAATTCTTTTGACCAGTGTTTTCCCTAGAAAAATGGGCATAAAAGGCTCTTTAGAATGAATAGTTAGGTGATTGTTAGAACAAACACATTGAGATACATAAGTGATCAATCACAGTCTGACCTGTTCCATCAAAGAATGCCCCAAAATATTTTATATATTGACACTTTTAGTTTTGGAGGAAACACAAGAATCGAAACTGCTCCAAATTGCACTTAGTAAAATGTTCTCTTCCAGCAGAATTGGAGATGGGGAATTGTTTCCTTGAGGTTTCCAGTCTGACTTGTTTTTATTCTTCCATTATTGAGCTGGGAGTGGATAACCCATGCCAGGCCCAGTGCTGTGTCTGTGTGCACAGGAGTGCTATTTTTCAGTCATATTAGCAAGAACAACCATAAATATGTTCACAGGTGGAGTTAGTGTCATGCTCAACAAAAAAAAAACAATGTTTTAATTGCTGCATTTTATTTGGATGTTTTAAAAAACAAGATGGTGCTATGAAGCTTTTGAATAAACACTTTCTAAAGTGACTGGTCCAGATCTGGTTTCTTTTTTAAATGAGACACGTGATTAATGAAATGGGAAGATAGTAATGACCTGCAAACACATCTCAGGGAGCCAAAATGTCAACGTCCCTCACATGCTAGAGGCAATCAAGTAGTTTGAGCACAGTACTAGGTCTTGGATTTAAATAGTGCCAGAATGTTTGTGTGTACACAACAACCTGCTCTGCACTGGGCTTAGTCAAAGGCAAATAAGAGGGTAAGGAAGGATGAAGAATCACCCTGGGACACAACTGCAAGCTCCCAGGAGTGGCAGATAGATGCTGCTCAAGTCAAGTGCAAGCAAAAACAGGATGTTTGGTATGGGCCATGGTACTCTGCAATTTAGTTGGACTTTTCTTCCATTTAGACAACAGAGATAGAAAGTTATTAAATGATGATGAAGGTGTAACTTGTGCTGGTTGCACAAATGTGTGTGTCTATGCACATGTAATATTAAAACTGCTAAGCTGAATCCTCCCTGCCTGTTCCCTGCTAAACTAAAATCCAGGTCAGGTTTTGTCTAGGAGTCATCCAAGATGATTCAACCTGCTGGGATTAACCTGCTCACTTCAGGAAAGGTTAGATCAGAGAATATGGTGTGGAACAGCAGCAGGAGGTTGTTACTGGCCTTGAATGATGTGTTTTAAAGTCTGTAAAACTACCAAAGCTGTGCTGGAGATGTACAGAGTATCGTGGCAGTACAGTGAGGCTATAATTTGACTTTTACATCAAAAGGTTTTCTGCCTTCTCAAGACCTCTGAGGGTGCAAAAGCAAATGGCTCTTGCTCCCAGCATGCCTTTTAGTAGCAATGGTCACAAGCAGTAACAAAGCTGTACCTCTGCAGCCAGTTTTCCCAATTTGGAAGTCTGGGATCAGTCTCTGGACAGGTACATAATCTTTCTTTGCTTTCTACTCTGTGGACATTTGGGTATACCTTTTAATTAGCAGGATATTGATTTGTCAAATATATTTAATATTAAAATATATTTAATATATTTAATTATCAAGTTACTATCAAATACTTTGCCACCATTTCTGATTTATGATACTCTGCTCATCAAAATGTGATCTCTATCACCATGTGTTGTGTAAGGAACAGCAGCCAGGGGTAACTGGAGAGGCAAACAGAATGCAGCACAAGTGTGAACTCAGTCTGAGTGGGATGGACAGAAAAATATAAAAATATCATGGTTGATCCCATATTTTTGTAGAAAATGTCATGTTAGGATGTAGAAATAGAAATAGCCTGAAATATATGTCAAGTGACACAGCTCAGTCAGGGAGTGAGCTGAGGGCAGGATCTAGTTTAGGGCACTGCACCTCAGGGAAGGCAAAAACCGAAAGGAGTGTAGAGGGGAGTGGTAAGAATGATCAGAGGACATGAAATTGTGACTAGTGAAGGGCTGAAAAGAACATGGTGTTTAGTCAGACAGAAGGGGAGACATCACATTCCATTAATTCATAAATGGATGCTTTACAGAAGAGAATTTTTGTTCCCACTGCTCATGATAAATTGATTCAAAAGACAAAGGTTTCAAGTGCAGCAAGATTTAGGGAGCTCAGGAAGAGCTTTGTGGTGATGAAGATAGCAAAGAACTGGAGCAGAGTGCCTGAGGATCTGTAGGGCCTCCTCACAGACCTTTAGGAGGCTACAGGCACATGTCAGAATGGCACTGGTGCTGTGGATCCTCCTTTGGGCAGGAGATGGACCAGCTGTTGTTTCAAGATCCCTTTTGGTGCTGGGTTTGCACAGTCTCTACCTCGTGCTGTTACTTACATCAGGGTAAGTAAACAGTCTTGTATTTGTTGCTGAGCCCTGGTGGCTCTGGAGCAGAGCCAGGTCCCTTGGGAAGTTCTATTATGCACAATATTTTGATTATGACTAATGCATGTGTTGTTTTGGGGCTTTTTCTCTTCTAAAAGGTCAGTATTTTAGTCCTTCAAAATCTTTCTACTTAGGACTTCACACCAGTTCTTCTGTTTCCTCTCTGCTATCTACGGGTGTGAGAGCAGGTAAAGAGAAATAACTTTTCCTCTGGAGTTTGCTGACATTTTTGTTGCCCATGGCAGCACTGATGAGGATTGAGTTTGCTAAAATAAAACCTGTTTCTGAGCCAGTTTTTGTTAATTTGAGTATTTAAAAGCATTGTCCAGCATGTGCTTATCTCCCCAGCTCTTGCCCAGATATTTCCCTGTACAGCTTACACAATAGTATGTGGATTTTTTCCCTTTCCTTCAAATAAGCACAGAAAATCCACATGGCTACAACACACTGTGGGAAGTGAAGCCAATCTGGCAGCAAGTTTTGCCTTTATGCCCAGCAGTTTTATAAGTTCTTTGCAAGAAGGAATAGGGAAGAGGAGGGGAAATGCAGATATCAATGAGAGCTGTGTTTCTTCTGCTGTGAGGACTTTGAGGGCAGTTGAACAAACTGTTTGTGCTAGTGACACCAAGTCAAGGCTGGCACTGTGTTAGGTTGGATATTCTGTTTTGCTGCCCCACCTCACAGACCAGGGAGCTTGTTTTGAACCTGTAGTTTGACACCAGAGTAACATCAGTGTGTATAAAATGATTCCCCATGAACAGCTCCTGCTGATGTGATATTTACTGGATTGCTTTGCCCTTTCGTCCTAAAGGAAAACTCACTGATCTGATCAGCAGCCCTGAACTGAGGAAGTAAGAGTGGAGACAGCTGAGTGATGATTGAGATGTCACATGCTCTGTACTGAACCTGAGGAAATTCTCAGTGTCCTGTGTAGCACAAGGCACAGCTGGAGCCAGAACAGCCTCAGTCTCCTCTCAGGTGTGTGGAAGTTAGTTCACAGCCCAGGGCTGACAGAAGGAATTGGCCCAGCACCTCTCCAGCAGAGTGTGAAAGAGGAACAGGCTACTTAACCCCTCTCAGTTCACAGGAAATGGTTCAGAGATCATAAAAAATCAAACTCTTTCCAACTGATGGAATGGAAATAATGTGGGAATAAGCCTGGCTTGCTGCAGGTTGTCTCAGCAAAGAAAGCTCTATGCTGTATGAACTGGAAACCCAGACTGCAAAAGAATTAACATCCAACTGCTAAAAAGATGCTTTGGTTAGAATTTAAAAAAACATTTTTGCCCCCTGCATTTCAGTGCTGGTTCTTCCTTTAGGTTGTATCCTTTGCAAAGCCTTAACCTTTGGATTGCTGAGGAACCAGCAGACTAATAGTTTCCTTTTCCAGTTTGTCAATAAAAACATGAAGTTTTCATGTGAGTGAATTCAAAGAGAGTTCTTCTGGCAGTTGCAAATATTGACAGATGATGTTATAAAAGTCAACTGTCTCAGATTCAGACAAAAGCCAGAAAATCACAAGTGTTTCTGATGAAGAAAAGAGGCAGGAGGAGAGGTTACATGTAGTGGTGGTTTGGAGGTTCTCAGAATTGGATTTCTCCATTGGAATGTGCTCATTAAACAGTTGTAGTGGAAACAGCAAAACCTCTCCAAACCTCATCCAGCTCCCAGATCTGTATCCCAGCACTGTCAGCATGGAAAATAGCAGGGAAGGGCAATCAGAATTTCTTTCATCCTGAAGCCAACTGTAATAGCTTCTAATGTGTCTGATTCCTAACGAAGCAAAAGATGGGAACAAATAAATATTTTAGGCTTTGTTTGTTCTGTGTTATTTGGAAAACTGTTCCTGTCTCCTCTTACTGGCAGCGAATCAGAGACACTTGCAGAATTACTAACCTCTTAGCACAGCTGGTACTACTGTCATTGGGTGATCTGGCTGAGGCTTCCCATTCTTGTGCTGGTGACTGGAATCTCAAGCTGCTTTATCTGTGAAGTGTGAAGTGTCTGAGGTTAGGTCATGGGTAAAGGCCATTTTCTTCCTCTTGTTTTTTCATTCCCTAAATCATTAGGATTTTGCCCACCAATGCACAGAAGGTTTCATTGGATTCTGGGACTGACTCAGTACAGTACCTGAAAGTTTTTCTCATATGAAATGTCACAAAGTTGAAGGGTTTGCCTGAAATGTGCACTCTGTTACTTCTGTTATGGCCCAAAGGCTCCAGACTGCTTGGCAAGACATTTAAAAAATGCCCCTGTGCTGCTGCAGAAGACATTAGTGAAAAACCAGATGAAGCAAAAGGCCTGGATAAGGCATGAAAGGTGAGTTTGTGCTCCCAATATGCTGTTTTTCACATCACAGCTTTGTGTGCCCTACCAAAACAACTACTAAGTGACACTGGGTGCTGCTGAGGGGCAGATGAAAGCAACTGAACTGCCAGTGTTGCCCAGGATGAATGGTGTGCAAGAGTGTTTGAGACTTGTTGAAAGAACCTACTCCTAGCAGAGACTGAGAAAATCCTCA